TCTTTCCCTCTAATATTACCGTTTCCTCTTCTGTTTTCCTTTAACAGTTGTCTCACATTCTCTCTCTTCCTCTCTCTAGAGATTTCTGAATATCTCTGATATTTATAGAGCTTTCATTCGTCTTCAACTTTTTGCCCCTCCTTTCTTCTTATCGTGCCTTCCCGTTGCTCGAATTCCTGCACGTTCTTCGGAATTCAGAAGCCGAAAACGATTTTCGTATCGGTTGGATTCCTTTCCGAGGCTGAATTTTACGGTTGATCCAAATCTCGGAGCTATGTTTGACATTTGATCCTAGTTTTTATGGTGAATAGCTATTGATAAAGTGGATTTCGAAGCTCCGTACAGTTTCTTGTTTATTGCATGTCGCTTCGAATCGCCCTGGTAAGCAAATCATTTCGTTCCGTTCTTTTTTTCTCGCCTTGGGAATTGTTCGTTAGAATAGAACGGAGAGTTCTTCTCTGTTTGGTTGCCTGGAAAAGCGCGAGAAAGTTCTCGTCTTTGTTTCCGAAAGTTCTCGTTTTGCTCCCAATTTTTGAAATTGCATGGCTGTAAGTTTGATTCCACAGCAATTCTGTTTGGTATATTTTTTCAAAAACTTTTATTTTGCAATAAAGGGCTTTGTTTTTTTGGTTAATTTTGTTAATTATCAATTTCCAATCATGACATGCATGTTTTATTCACACTCTGATTCAGGATTTGTAGTGTTTTGGAGATTCAAAAGCTCTTGAAATGGACAGTTCGGAGACATAGATTCAGGAGATAAAAGAAATCTGAATCTCTTGTCTTTCAATCCTTATAACCTTTATTATCACGCTCATTGCAAATTGATTGGTTCGAAAAGAGGCGGGTAAAAATGACTGGAGTTTTGAGCTATGCCGTTTCAAGGTTACAAATGCTATCCACTTCCGACCACTCCTCGATTGTCTCTATGAACCTGTTTGTGGCTCTCCTTCTTGCCTGTATTGTGATTGGCCATCTTCTCGAGGAGAATCGATGGATGAACGAGTCGATCACTGCCCTCATAATCGTTAGTTCTTCTTAAAACTTGTGAAGAAAGCGTATGAAGATTGATATAGTTTGAATTTTTTGTGATTTCTGCTTTTGGTTAATTTGTGTTGGCTTTGTATTGGATTTTTGGCAGGGTGTGTGCACTGGAATTGTTATTTTGCTCATTAGCGGGGGAAAAAGTTCGCATCTTTTAGTTTTCAGCGAAGATCTCTTCTTTATATATCTCCTGCCTCCTATCATATTTAATGCAGGGTAATTTTTTTTTTTTTTTTCTGTCATGTTTATCTAGTTGTTTACTGAGTGGAGCAATCTCATAACTCATAATGGCTGCAATGGCTGTTATGAGGTTATCTCTTATCTACATTTAATTATCTGTTTCTTTTGCTTATTTGACAATTGTGCTATACATATGTTCCAAATTATAGGATTTCGTGCTTTCTACAACAATATATCAATGCGGTGCCATATACAATCCCAAATTTGGCATTTGGATTGGAAAACTATTCTCTAATGCGTTGATGCACTGCTATTTTTTGTGCTAAATTTGTCATAAAGTAGACAGTATGCATTGTATTGGCATTTGGTTGCTATGACGTGTTTGACATTTTATTTAATAATTACAACCTTGCTATTTTCAAGTTATTTAAAAATTATAAAAATTAAACTTTGCGAGTTCTAAAGCTTAAAATTTATGTCAAAAAATAGATGTAGCATTTGAGATAGATTATGCATTAGAGCTCTAATTTGAGCAACCTGTCAATAATACTGATTTTACTCTCTCTCTCTCTCTCTTTTTTTGTTTTTTGTTTTTTTTTTTGTGCGCCCCAATATCTCCATTTGCATCTGAGGTGACTTTAAATCACAATAGGTGGCATGTAATGCTTACTATGTAACTTACTGTTTTGTTTAACCAGAAAAAGAAACAGAAACTTACTGCTACCAAAGCTTTTTCTGCAAGAACTGAATAAGCTGTATCTTTCTGTTACATGTGGGAATCAGAAATGTGACCTTAGTTGGAGTCTTATGACCTATCAAAGTTTACTCTTTACTCTTCTCTTCTCTTTATTTATTTTTATTCTTTAGCAAGAGAAACAAATAAACAAGTGCATTTGATTTTTAAACTGCAGCAACAAGGCAAAGTACTCAAACAAGAGAAGTTGCTGACATTGGGAATGACCATCTTTGCATGTAATAATCTAATAGTTTGAAAATAAAATTTTATGTTGGCCAATCTCGTATCAACTTAAGCTTTTGAAAGATTTGGAAAGCTAACACGACTAATCCAAAACTTATTGTCATCTGCTTTTGTTTTTCCTGCAGAATAAACTCTCTTTCTATTAATTTTTCAGTCACGCGTCGATGATGAATTTCCAGTTTCTTCTATATTTTCATTTTGATGTATAATTTTGATCCTTTTCTCCATGCCAGGTTTCAGGTGAAAAAGAAGCAGTTCTTTGTTAACTTTATCACTATCGTGCTGTTTGGTGCTGTTGGTACATTAATATCCTGCACCATTATAGCTCTAGGTATATCTATCGTTCTGCACCTTCAGTCATTTGCTAATCTAGGAAAATTTGTGTGTTTGAACTAGTTGCAGTATGCGGGGCCCAATGGTGGGGAAATATGTTTATATAGATTGACTGGATGTCGCTTAGTAAAACTTGGATGCTTCTTGCAGGAGCTACACAGTTTTTCAAGAAATTGGATATCGGTACCCTGGATGTGGGGGATTATTTAGGTACCGACTTTTCCTTTTTCTTTGCTCAAGTATCACACCGATATTTGCTTTCCTTACACGTTTGATCTTCTGTTGACAGCTATTGGTGCTATATTTGCTGCAACGGATTCTGTGTGTACGTTGCAGGTGCGTATCAATAATACTGCACATAGTTGAACCAATTAAAATCCGTAACTTCTGTTATCTAAGGTTGTTGAGTGGTGATGCAGGTGCTTAACCAAGATGAGACACCTTTACTCTACAGTCTTGTTTTCGGAGAGGGTGTTGTCAATGATGCTACATCCGTGGTGCTTTTCAACGCGATACAGAACTTTGACCTTACTCGTATTAATTCCCAAATTGCTTTTAAGTTCATCGGAAATTTCCTATATTTGTTTGCCACAAGCACTTTGCTAGGAGTGTTCGTAAGTCACAGTCTCTTTCTCCTTCTAAATATGTAGTCATCATCGTGTATACCTATCTTGGTATGACTCTCACTTTTCCTTGCAGACTGGACTACTTAGTGCTTATATTATCAAGAAGCTCTATTTTGGGAGGTAATTTTTCAAAATGAAGATTTCAAATGTTGTTTAGTTCATCTGTTGTAATAATGTTTTAACTTGTGTTATGTGAAACAATTATTTTGATTTCTGTCAATATTCAAACCACACCAGTTACCAAAGTGGAAGTTTTATTAACTTAGTTTTCTGTATACAGGCACTCTACTGACCGTGAGGTTGCTCTTATGATGCTCATGGCATACCTTTCATATATGCTGGCTGAAGTAAGTTTCTTGTAGCTGCACCTTCTGAAGTTTTTTCTCTCTTCCCCACTATTTTCTTTTTTTTCTCCTGGGTTTGTTTTACTTGGAAAAAAAAATGTCGTATGAAGCAGTAACAATCAGGATGGTTTATTTGATGTGTTTTGCAGTTGTTCTATCTGAGTGGCATTCTCACGGTTTTCTTCTGTGGGATTGTCATGTCTCATTACACCTGGCATAATGTGACTGAGAGTTCAAGAATCACTACCAAGTACGTTTCCTAAGAAATCATTTTCCTTTAAGCTATTATTTCCATTGATACTGTCATATGAGACTGGTCAAGACACATTTTGAGTTTGTTATCCTATCATCGCAGGCACACATTTGCGACCTTGTCATTTGTTGCTGAGATTTTTATCTTCCTTTATGTTGGTATGGATGCCTTGGATATTGAAAAGTGGAGATACGTGAGTGATAGGTATGGTTACATTTTCTCAAACAATGTTATCACCTTATTCCTTCCTTTTATTATCAGAAACAGTAGAATACCATATCTTGGATACTTTGTCAAGTAAAGTTGCCTCCTAGCACTGCATATTGGTTTTGATCAATTTCACATTTGCAGTCCTGGAACATCAGTGGCAGTTAGTTCAATACTGGAAGAGCAGCATTTATTTTCCCCTTATCTTTTCTGTCCAACTTAGCCAAAAAAAATCCACATAAAAAAATCAGCTTGAGAGAGCAAGTAAGCGATCTGTTTTTGTAATAAGTTTCTTATTCTTTATAATCTAATGATCTCTTGAATGACAGAAGAAAATCTTCCTTTAGGTTATAATATGGTGGGCTGGTCTCATGAGAGGTGCAGTGTCTATGGCACTTGCTTATAATCAGGTAAGTTATTCACATAATTGTCAGAATCGAGGTCAAACTTATTTTAAATCAAATTTGAGCTTTCACATAACAGGAAAATTCTTCATATTATCTTATTTGTACGAGAAAAGATATGCAAAATCTAGAATAGAACTGCGCCATTTCTGAGATACATGTTAATGTTGAAGACATGTGAAACCTGGAAAAGATATGCAAACTCGCACTTATTCTACAGCTCTTAATTTTTTTTTTCCTGAATGCAGTTTACAAGGGCAGGTCATACTCAATTGCGGGCAAATGCAATTATGATCACCAGCACAATAACTGTTGTTCTTGTTAGCACAGTGGTGAGACATTCGTTTTTGTTTTTGTTTTTTTTTTTTTTTGGGGTGCGACTATTATAACATTGGCTAGTATAGATTTATAGGCCGTTTGAATTAAAAAATAAAAACCGTTTTTATATGACTTCAGTTTCAGTGATCCTTATACTGTGTGATTGCGCCTGACAATATGCTAGGAATTAGCTTTTCTCGTAGGTAATGAATAGATGGAGTATAGCTAGTTTGTCTTTCCTGTTAGGCCTGTTCAGCACTTGAGCTGTGAAGTATATTGGTTACCAAGAATTTAAAACTTTCCATTGAGTGTCCATGATTTTTGTTTTTTGTTTTTCCCTATCCAAGGTGTGTGTAATACAGACACATGTCATGTATATGGGATTAACAAGAATTCTCCAGTCCTCAGCGTCTCTCTTATTATGTAGAGTCTATTATTGGACATGGTGATGATTTAACTTTTATTTGATTGTACTTGGGTATTTGGTTCGATTTAACTTTTATTTGATTTTACTTATGTATTTGGTTTGATTTAACTTTTATTTGATTGATTGTGCTTAGGTTTTTGGTTTGATGACCAAACCTCTTATAAGGTTCTTGCTACCACATCCAAAACACACAACCAGTATGACCATATCTGATCCATCTTCTCCAAAATCTTTCCTTACGCCACTTCTTGAAACTGGGCTGGATTCAGAAGCTGATCTAGGTCTTGGTGGCCATGAGCATGATGTTCCCCGGCCTAATAGCATTCGTGCTCTGCTGACAACTCCAACACGCTCTGTTCATCGCTATTGGCGTAAGTTCGATGATGCCTTTATGCGTCCGGTATTTGGCGGCCGGGGTTTTGTTCCTTTTGTTCCTGGCTCACCAACCGAACGTAGTGCTCCTCCTGCTCAATGGGAATGAGGAAACAATGGAGCAAGTTGTAAAATAGTTGTGTATATCTTGTAAAATTCGAGTAATGCACGACTCTACAGAAACTTCCGAAAATTTTTGTTCATCTTTTGGGCGGTGAGAAGGCACTGTACCATATCTTATCGTCACTTTCATTCGTATCATGTATTTTGTATAGCTTTTTCGTTTGCCCCAAGCGACTAGAGGGGAATTTGTTTGATTCTCGCTGTCTTGTTGACAACTTAATTTCTCTCGAGTTTAATGTTTTGCATCTTATTTTTTCCCCAAAAAGTGTAACGTAACATTATAGTTGATGCGTTGTTTCCAGATTCATATCTTTATTGAATACTTAATTTGCAAGAATGTCAAAATTGCTCTAGCTTACACATTATATGAATTTAAATTACCGGTGTCTTTACATTATTGATATGCATGTTGTATACACATACTCGTATGCATGAGTAGATATGGATTACAGAAGTCGTTCTGCAGTTTCACAAAACACATCTGAAACGAGAGAGAGAGAGAGCATTTAATCCCGTGCCTTGGTCGCAGACTCGCACTTCACATGGATTAACATGCCCCAACGTGTTCAGTGTGACATACTTGTCTAAACAATATAAAACATTCATACCTCGTAAAACAGGAAGCAAAAGAAATAATTACTTCTACAAGTCATTTCCATGCCATGTATGGAATACACTTTCATTGACCAACAAATTCAATCCGAGAATGAAAGTAAAAAGGTTAAATTGTCTGAGAGCCCCTATGCACAATCGGCAACTACAAGTTTATTGGACCGAATTACAATAAAGAGTACCCAATGGAGCTAAAGGTAAAACACGTAGGGACGTTTGGACAGCGCTTCATGGCCATAGCCACTACTAGAAGACAAGGGCCTATCACCGTGTGTAGCTACCCTCAAAGGAGCCTTGGGGTGATTAGCGAGAAAACTATGTGGGCTTGCATTCGAATGGATGCTGATATGCTGAGAGGCTTCGGGTGACCCAAACTGCCCACTCCTTTCACTTGTTCCATACTGCTCAGCAGATGAGTTCAAATGTGCAGTGAGATGACCAGAGCTTGCCAATGCATAAAGGGTAGAGCTGATGTGATGAGGATCAAGGACGGAACCCGTCAAATTATAGGCTTCATGAGCTTGGCTCATGCGCTGGGTAGGGGAGGCCACCAAACCATGAGTACCAGGCTGTAAGCTTGGGCGTGTATTGAGAGGGGAGCGTGCCAAATTATGGTATCCAGATGAGTACTGTGTTCCTTGGCCCGTGTATAAATCTGCAGGCTGATAATGAGATGCTTTAGTGGAGTAAAAGCTGGAAGCAGCACCAAAAGATGTGCTTGGACCAGAAGCAGGAGCAGCAGCAGCAGCTGCTGTTGTAAGCAAGTATTCTGCACCTTCACGCTCAAGCATGCCCACCGGAACATGGTGCAGTGCATGGACCGCGGCTGCCCTAGTAGCAGGAACAATTGGAGAAGCTGCAGCTGGTGCAGCAGCCATCCGGACCGGTGGCATCAAGTATTCTGTCCTTTCACCCTCATATAAGCCTACTGGGTGATGATGCACGGTCTGGACTGTGGCTATTGCTCTAGAAGAAAGATTTGGCGCAACTGCCACTTGTGCTGTCCGTAGATTTTTATTTCTGTTCTGTGGATTTTTCATTTGAAATTTAGAATCAGGGAATGCACGTTTCTTTCCACTGACCTGCTGCGCTTGAGCCTTGGGACCGGGAGCCTTCTGCTTTGCATTCTTCTCCTTTTCTTTCCTCTCATATTTCTGCTTTCTCAGCCACTCAACACGTTCTTTAAGTTCCTCAGGAGAGTATTCAGATTCAAGCTTGTATTCTTCAATGCACCTTATTACGCCTCTCAGAGCAGCTATTTCTTTGTTTGCGGCATCATCCTGCACATTTCATAACGAAATTCAGTATAAAACAAAATAAGAAGTTGGGTGTGAATTTAGGACGACTAATGTGCAATAAACATACCTTTTCTTTAGGAGAACTATTGTTCTTTTTCCAAATAGTCCTAGCAGCCATCTTGACATCCTTCAAATGATCTTGAAGCAAGGGTACTGGTGGGAACTTGTCAACCAGTTCAAATGCATAAATAAATCTAACAGCCTCAAGGTACTTCATCCGTGAGATAAGATTCTGGATAAAATCTGACACCAAAAAAGATTAATCAAAAAGATTAATCAAAAAGATTGCAAGTTTCCCCAGACTGCCCAAATCAAAATAGTCATACAGAATTATTCTTCTTCCTATTACAGACGTTTTACAAAAACTGCGAACTCCACTACCGGGTATCAGGTAAGCATCGCTTGTCAAAACTGAACATCGAGTCAAGAACTAATGTCACATATGATCATACAAACCAACCCACCCAATTCAAATTTTTCGAAAATCCGTACTTTCTAAATCACTATGGAATCAGAACACAAAAGGTTAACCAACCAAGAATCAGATTTCTACAACTAACTACATACTCTACTCAGGGAAACACTCTACATTTTGATCATTATACCAAAAGAAAGAATTGACTATTATCTAACAAAATAATTTAATTATTTGTTATCCAAAACTCACCAGAGGCCTTATCAGACAAACCCAACGACTTAAACAACTCCGGAGCCTGCCTACGCTGCACAACATTGCCAACAAGACTCAAAATCTCATCCCTATCGTACTCGCCAACCAACTCATAAACAACCAAAAGCATCAAAAACCCAAAAACCTCCATGGAATTCCCCATCTCCAACTTTATCTTCGTCTTCCACACAGACGCAAGCTTAGACGCCGCTTCCCTAACTTTATTTTTGATCAAAGGCCTCACCTTGATCATCTCCTCCAACAAAAGCAAGCAACTTCTCCTCACCGCGCTGAGCTCGGAATCAACAACCCCCGCTTTCGCCTCCGCAGGGTAAAACCCTCCAATGGCGTCGAGAACGAGCTTTCCGGAATCCTCCGCGGCCTTTAGCGCATTACGAACGTCGTCGCGAATCGAATCGTGCTCTTTCAACTGCGCTTTCAAGTGGATTACCAGTTTCTTCCCGTCGTGAATCGGAATGGAATTGGAATGCGATTGTTCGGGCTTGGATCGCGAATCGGCGGGATTGGAAATGGAATTAGGTTTGGACGGGGAGAATTGGGGATTTAGGAGGTCGTAGAGTTTGGCTTGAATGGATTGGAGGTGGTCCTCGAGGTCCTGCCATTGGAGGGTGAAATTGGCGACGGCGGAGGCGTGGTTCTTGAGGAGATTGAAGGCTTTGCGGATTTGCTGTCTGTTTGAGCCGGAAATTTCGAGCGACGGCGACGGCGAGATTTTTTCGACGGCGGTGGCCGACATGGTGGGGCTGCCGCGGAATGCGAAGAGGAAAGAGAGGAATTCGAAGCGGCCAAAGATTGGGTCCTAGGTGGCGGTTACTGCTTGCTTTAACCCACGCAGATCCAAAATAATAATTACCCAAAGACTTTTGACGAGAAAAGGGATGATTTCTTTTTCTTTTTCTTTTTTTCTTTTTTTAATCAATTTGTTGGAATGGCGTTTTACACGACAGACGGTGTACTTGACGAAACCTTGTTCCTCGTTTGGTTAGGGTGAAAAAGAGAATGGGAAGAAAATGTGAAGGAAAATAAGTGAGTTGATTTTTTTTTTTATATGTTGTTTGGTATAATAGGAGAAATATGTAATATAGTTGTTGACGGTAGAAATTTGACAACAAGAATATATTAAATTAAAAGATAGATAACGTGATTTTTGGTAATTTAAAAAGCGATTAAGAAAGATTAAGAAAAATCAAAAAATAAGAATACACATATTTATAGTGGTTCATCATTTGTTCAAGAGCTACATCTACTGTGAGTATGAGAGAAATTCACTGTGTTCTAAAAAATATGATTACAGAATGTCTCCATAAACTTGTCCTTTCTATATATATACCCCCTGCAATCTCTGTAATTTCCCTTATTCTATTCTGAAATATTTTTCCCATTTTTTTAGATAATATCCCTAGTTGGTTAGGATTTATGTCAATTAGCAGGATTTTCTCACCTACTTCCCCACTTATTTCGTTTATTTTAATTACAAGTCACAAGTCTCGGGGCATGCCACGTATCTCTCTCGATCTGCGTGAACTCAACTTCCTAGGCGCTCTTAGAGCCATCTCTGCTCACAACTGATGGTGCGGTTGACCTCTTATTTTTCTCGACACCTTAAAGCGATCGACCGCCTTCGTACACTTTTCGCTTTACTTGTGTTCTACTCTCAAGAGAACTCTCGTCTAACATGACAGTTAGGGCAAAGTTGTCTCCGATCATTAGATGTCCTTATTTACTGCACATAAAGGATTATTAGAGTTTGAAATTTTTGCCGTACAAGTTACAACAATAGAAAAAGATTATTTTACTAATATTTTATATTAATTTAGTTTTAAAATGGGGATAAAAAAGTTATTTTAATCATTAATGGGTAGATAATTTTTTGAGAGATAAGAATCGGTCTGTCTCACTATATTGTTTATCCACCATATTTTCTTTTCTTCTCTTTTCTTTTTTATCAAACAACCTACTCAATCATTTTTCATCTAATAATCTCTCCATTCCTCTTTTCCATCATACCAAATATAGGCTTAGAGATTGTTTGTTTTATGAGTTCAATGAGTCTGTTACAGTATTTTTCTCTCACAAAAAATTTAAATTTTAAAATTAAAATTAAAAATCACCAATTTAAACGCACAAACTAAACGCACCCTTAATATATTAGAAAAGGAAATTGTGAAATAGATAAAGAAATAATAAAAGTGCATGTCGTTTTCTTTAGGAAGCGACATAAAAGGTACGTTTAGAATTAATTTTTGTTTATTTTTAAAAATATTTTTGCACATCTTTTAAGATACGAAAATAAAAATGATCTACAAATCGTTTTTGTTTAGTAAATGTTTTAAAAATGAAAACGCAAATAAAAAACAATGAGAAGTTTTTGAAAAAAAATTTAAAAACTGTTAAAAATTATTTTATTTTTTCTATTTTCATTTTTTAATATTAATCAATAATATTATAATATATTAATTAATAATTATGACCAAATATAATTTTACTTTTTTATTATACTCAACAATTTTTTTAAAAAATTAACCAAATATAATTTTCAAATCAATCACAAAATAATTCTCAAAATAATCTCATTTTTACTTTTATATTAAAAACAAAACCAGTTTAAAAAATTACAAAAAGTCGAAAAAGTTAAAAAAAAAACTGATTTTTAATGAGAAACGACACGACTCTTTAAGGCAGTTTAATTAACAAGCAATGGTGTCAGTTCATACTTCATACATGAGTAATCATGTCAGCTTAATAAAAAAATAAAGAGTTCTCAACGAGGTTTTTCTTTTTCTTTTAACAAAGAAACTTAACCATGTTTTTAAATTTTTGCCATATAAATAGCTTTCATATCCATCTATTTGTTGGTATCATTTTTCTACAATTTTTGTGAATTTAATCACATTAGTCATTAATCTTGATCTTTGGGGCAGACCATCTCATTCTGTCAAGTGTCAAGTTTTAGTACTTGGAGAAACTTATCGCCAAAAAATAAAAAGAAAAAAGAGATAAAAACAAACAAAAGTATGCGGAGTCAAATCACTCTTATGCTAAGAAACGCAGTCTGCACAGAAGCAAAGTATGATCTAACAACAAAGCGCAGAACAGATTCAACCCAATATACTGCCTTTCCTCTTATTCAGATACTCAGAAAAGTTTTGGTCTTTTTCCTTCTTCAAAGTAGATTGGAACATGTAAATATCCATATCCAAATCCACGGTGCTCATGTTTATCCTTGCAGACCAATAATACCTGCATAAAGAAAAAAAGAGTTAACAAAAAAGGAGACTCGCATTAAAAGAAATTCAAATTATTAGACTTTACATAGAAAAATGTATTTAAATTCCATTTCACCGAAACTGAGCGAATTAACTTACCGCAAGCAACTCTGCCGCCAGCATTTCCAGTGGTCTTGCTCAGCTCATGTCCTCCTGGCCATTAAAAGCAAAATGCATATTGGGTTTAGATAAGAAATGTCAATTGAGGCTCAAAATGGGTGAAAGATTATAAGCATTCATCAAAGGCCGTCCATGGATGAATAAATCAAGATAATTTTGCACATAAACCACTTGAGCAGGCTGAGTTTGGATAGGGATCACCAAGACTCAAGAGATTACCTCTGCCCAAGTCATCAGGATCCCCATGGACGACGACAGCACGGCCGATGATGGAGTGTGGTCCAGAGAGAGGAATCTGCAAACAGAATTGAATACTTAGGCGGTAAACTTCAATTAGGCAGCATAAAAAATATATCACAACCCGTTTGGAATGGATAGGAAAAGAAAGAAGATTACTTGCTTGTCAACAATTGTGACGGTAGCAGTTCCTGAAACAAACAAGCATAGGAAAGAATTATGATTTAATAGTCGGAACAAACTTTCTCACAAAACAAGTAAACAAATGCTCAACTCTCAATACAATCTACAAATGGTAGAAGGATAAATTGCAGGAAAAAAAAAACACCAAAAACATTTCATTAAAAGTGGTAATGAACAAACGGAAAAGGGGCAAAAAAACTCTCGCATACCGTCATCACCAGCGGTGATGTTTCCGAGGTCACCAGCATGACGATGCTCATCTTCAGGGGCACCATGGTCTTTGCTAGCTGGGTTGAAGTGTGGTCCTGCAAGAAACTTGAAAATTAGAGAGATCAACCAAGAAATAATGGCATTCTACTATTTATAGTTTCCCAACTGCATCAAATTATTTATCTTAAAGCGATCAAAATCAGATCACAGTATATCAAACTATACCAGTTGAGAGGCAACCATTGGTTGTGTCCCCAAGAGCATGGACATGGAAACCATGAAGCCCGGGCTTAAGGCCGCAAACGTTTCCAGTCACGGTGGTAGGACCTAAAAAATAAAAATAAAAGAATTGCAAACATGAATATCATCAGTTTAAACCAGTAAATCGTCAAGAAATATATTGAACATATTCAAGTACGAGTATGAGCATTTGTAGTTACCATCTCCTTCCTGGGTGAAGTAGATAGTTCCAGTGACGCCCTCACTAGATGCAAGAACAGCAACAGCTTTTCCCATCGTCCTCTGTGATCTAAACAAGATAGCTAATTAGAAAGACATCTAATGTGTCCAACTTTTGGATAGAACAAAATTTCAAATTTTATCGTTTGAGAACTGCAAAATGCTTGATTTAGGAAAATTAAGCATAGCTGATATTAACAGGTTTTCCAGTATAATAAAAGCAAAGAATCGTGTAAGATTAAAAATCAAATCTTATGAAGAAACCCAACGTGGGTTTCACCAATTCACTCCAGTTTTCACCAAATTCACAATCTATATTGTCATGATTTAAAAAAAAATCTTTTTTTTTTAATTTTCTTTTAACAATCTCAGTCCAAACGAAGATCACCTCACTGTAAGCGATCTATGAGCAATAATATATTCCGGAAAAAGAGAAATAAAGAAACAAATACAAATAAATAATTAAAAAAAAACAACATCGGTGTATTTTGCATTAAAAAGGGAAGATCTTTAAAGATCAACAAGAAATGAAGCTGAAAACCCCAGAAAAAATAAGAAAAAAACCAACATAATTAAGCACTTCTTACACAGTCCAGATCAGAAAACTAAAACCCACATAATAAAAGAAGCGAGGAAAAATACAAAAAAAAAATATAGAAAAGAACAGAATCTAAGGTGATCAAGTAAGGATAGAAGAAAATAAGCTCACCTCAGAACACCCCCCCAAGGCAGAAAAATGAAATTAAACAAGAAAAAGGGTTTTCGGGTAAAGGGAAGAGTAAACTGTACTCTGATGGGTTTGGCCGATTTTATTTTATAGCAGAAGGTGTGACCAAGGGCTGAGCAAGGGAGTGACTTTAGTTAGGCTTCGTTTGGTTGAAAGGATAGTTAGGAAAGAAAGATAGTTTAGTTCATTAATTTGAGTTTTTAATTTGAGTTGACATATTATTTTATATGAGGGTTTTTTACTGTAATAAAAAATTAGATATAATTATTTATGAGAGATTTTTATTATAATAAAATTTAAATTTTAAACTTAAATCGATAAAATGAACGAGTTCTATAATAATCATTTATTATGTTTAACAGAAGAAAAGAAAATTAAAAGAATAGATGAATGAATATATATTTAATTATTAAATTATCTTTTTCTATCAAATTTAAATAAAATTTTTAAAGAATAAAATAGTCTTTTCAAATCTTTAATGAATGAATTATGTGAATCACTTCATAAGCAAAGGGATGCAAAATAGGGGACCCAATGGATTGAGTCTCTCTACCTCTCCTCCCATTTCCTCTCTTATTCCAACCAAACAAGAGATTTATGTGAAGTTTATTTAAATGACTCATCCTCATTTTAAATTATAATTTTTAATTTTTTATAATATTTTTTTCTCATAAAAAATTTAAATTTTAAAAATTAAAATCATAATTTTAAATTTATAAACCAAAAGACTCTCCTTCCATCCAATCAAACACACTCTTAGAAAGAGATAGGAGCATCTGACTGTCCTGTTATTCTAGATTTTTCCAACCACCTACCCACCAGAGTTGGGGGTGTTTATTGTCATTTCATATTCACAGTAGTGTGGTTGAGGGAGAGGCTATGAGTTAGTGGGCTCTAAACTGGGTTGAGACCCATTCAAGCCTTAGCCCAAATCTTGTTGCCAGGAGTCTAACTCTTAAGAAATTGGTAAATTATGATATCGTTTATTTCACCGATTTGAGTTTTTAGTTCTAGATTTTTATAGAAATTTTTTTTTAAAAAATGTCATATTTAATTTTTTTTTATTACAGTAAAAAACTCTCAGAAAATATCACATCTCAACTCAAATTGAAAACTCGAATCCGCGAAGTGAACGAGACCTATAGAAATACCACTTTTAGAATGTTGACGTATTTAAAAAAAAAATTAGAAAGTTGCTATAAAATAGTATAATTTACATAAAGAGATGGAGATTTAAATCATCTGTCTAATTTGGTGTTTAGAATTGTTTCTAATTAATCACATTATTTTTTTAAAAAAATAAATATCTTTTTAATTAACTTTTCTTTACTTTTGATATTTAAATCCATCATACTACGTGTAATAATTTAATTGATTAGACATCAATTGAGATACTAAAAATTAGATAGGTGAGTTGAGTATGAGAGATAGTATGTGAGAATAGAGATGGTATGTGGCAATAGCTAGACTCTATTGGTATGTTTACCAACTCATAATCGGATAAGTGAGACTGCATGTATTTTAGGTGAAGGAAAATGGTAATTTGTATTAGTATTTTAATGAATGATTTATGTAACGTGGATTTTAGGATTTGGCATGACATTCTTTCAATAAAATTTTTTAAAAAAATTAATGACTAATGTGGTTGCAGAATTAAGGACAAAATTGGTGGATATGCACTTTCAGGGGAAAAAAAGAAAAGAAAAAAAAAAAGAAAAGGTGGGTGTGGTGGCCTTGGTCTATCTATTTTGGTGGTCAAACAAACCGTGCATTGAAACATTACTTATGGTCGATGAGAACAAGGATGAGACCAAAAACACACCTCATTAAATTTACTCAAACAGCAAAAACAAGGCTCATTTGATTTGGTTGTGTAATTGTGGTGATAGGGGTCAATTTATTAGACAAACGACACCAATCTGACGCTGTTTTTGCACTTAAAATTGACTTCGGCCAAAGACTCTATCAAGAAGTGCGTTAATGCCATCTACCTTTTCATCGCACTCGTTACTTACTTACCACTCACTAGCATAATAAACCTTCACAAAACTTGATCAAATGGGCAAAAGGTTATTAAAGAGGGATGGAGCTATGAATTATTAGCTATGATGTGATACTTATTTTTAACTGACTCGATTAGATAATTGATTATGAAATTGCCTAGTGTCTTTAAATATTATTATTGTTAATTTTTGATCTTGAGCAACGTGGTTTAGCTGTCAAATAAATTGTTATCCAATTCACATAGACTATTATGCTAAGTTCTTATATAGTAAATATGCAATTTTTATGAGTGCACGTTTTAATATTGCAAGTGTTATGCAGTTGGATAAGAGAAATGGATAATGGATGTGTCAATTATCAAAGAAATGATATTGATTGAGATGAAATTGTCATAAACTACACAACAGAAGCAATTGAGAGTAATGAATTTTGATCAAATAAGCTACATTGGAAATCTCTCTTACAAATTGAAAATAGCCACTTTAACACCAGATTTTTTTATTACACTAGAAATTCTACTTGCAAAATCTCAGCCCGGTGAAAATAGTAAAAAAAAAAAAACATGAAACAAACATCACGGAGAAATTTCACAGTGAAAATCTGCATATCAGAAGTCAGACTGACTCTGTCTTTTGCGGTTGGTGTCCAGCTCAAGCTCTTTCCGAGATTCTTCCCATAATTGGTTTTCAATGCCGAACTTCCTTAGCTCTATCAGGCCACGCTCAACTGTATTAAAGTAGTCAAACAAGGTAAGGTAAATATTGTCCAGATGTTACGGATTAAACGCCCTAATCTTTTATTAACGAAAAAAAAAAAAAATTTGTTAGGTCCGTTTTTTTCATACTCAACGACTCCCTCTTTGATGATGTCGCCGTTGCTTAGAATTTTCTTAGAAAGCTTGATCAGCGAGCATCACTCGACTTGACGGTTTCCTCCCGAAACTAAAGAAATCTTCTCCCGAAGAACCAATTTAAAAGTGTTCTTACAATCCGTCGCAACACATCAAGCGAATCTTAACATTACAATCTCATACTCACATGAACACACACAACTTTTTCTGTATTTAGCACATATTCTTCACCTCACGTTCTTTTTAACATCAAAACCCTCATGCCACTGTATATACCATCACAGAATCTCACCCCTCAAACATCCACGATAAGCACATCCAATCATGGTAATATCTCCTCCATTCACACCATAAATCAGGTCACCAACCCCAATGACAATAAGAAGACAATCATTCCCAATATTTTTCACAATTCTTTCCTTAGAAGAGCCAGCCATAATGCTCCAGAAAGTTCACTCTTGATTTTCAGCCAATAAACATGACAATCAAACTTTCTTTAAGAGGACTATCAATTTACAATGCCAACCAATTTACCAAAAATAAACTAACACAAAAAATGCACTAACAAAAATAAAATAAGATAAAACAACTATATAGACAATTAATATTTATGTCCACTTTCAGTTGTCGTAGGACATGACATTACAAGAGAACCACACACCTCACGCCTCTCTAGTTCTAATCGGATTTCCAAAACTGGCACGCCATAACATTATGTGTAATTAGGATAACTTAAATACATGTTGAAAAGATTGATTCGTATAATAACAAAAAGAGAGAATTATACCATCGACAGCGTCATGTGAAGTTGGCGGCTTGGTATTGTGGTTGACCCAGAACTCCAGACGCTCCTCTGATACATCTGGTTCCAGTCCATGGTTTTTGGCTCTTCTCCAAAAATATGTAAGCCAAGCCTACAAAATAAAATCACAAAATAAGAAGCTTCAACTTTAAGAATTTGGTATAAAAGTATATAAGGATTTGTGTCATGTTCGTGACTCGTTACAGTATTTTTTCTCACAAAAAATACACGTAAATCGAGAATAATTATGAATCTATCAACTAAACGTCCTCCTAATGATTCTAACTTGAGCAAGCAACATGTTACAATGGAAGATATGACTCCAATTTATTAGATTTTTTCATGGTTTAGACTTTAGATCACTTTGAGTAGTGCTATGGCACCTGCTTAAATAGTACATCGTCCGACTCCTCTTTGCTCAATTCTGAAAGCAAAAGTGCATGCCGTGTTAGAGGATAGATCACAAAAAAGAATATCATTTTTATCAAATTTTGTTAAACATACCAAATGCTTCAAACTGTCCTTCAATAGGTAGTTTCAAGTCATCTACACACCCATAAGCTGAAAGGAGAAAAAAAGGGTAATGCAACTAGTATTGATACACTATTTTCAGTACATGAATAAAGAACTTGTTTGAAAAAATTGCATATATGACTTCACCTGACAAACCAGATCTGATCGCATTTAAGCGTCGACTTAGGGCCATTGCAAGCGCCACGGCATCCTCTACCTTTAAGGAAGCCAGTTCCCTCATGCCTTTCTCAACTAAAAGCATATTCTCAATGTTCACATCCCCAGAAAGTTTATTCAAGTCTCTTGGGTCACTCTCTATTTCCTCTAAATCATTGTCTTCTAATCACCATTTGATGACCAAAAAAAAAAAAAAAGATCAATTATCATCAATAACAGACAAATACCAGAATAAACATACAGAAAAGAAATCCAAGTGGAGTCTTACTTTTCTCTTCCTTGGCCTTTTGTCCAGCAGATAAGACAACTTCAACAGGTAAAGGGGCTAAAGATGACCAGTATTCATATCTTGCCTTGGCAATCTCAGCATGGATACCTGCCAAAAAGAATTGAAGTGCCCAGTGAACGTCATAAATTATAAACTACAAAAGTAGCAAAAAGGAATTTTCTTTTATTTTTTATTTTTTATTTTTTTTTGGTTAAAAAACAACAAGTAATGTAATTCCTACCATGTTCAACACATAAACTCCAATATCGAGCAAGCCAACACCTCTTTAGAACAACTTCTTCCTAAGATCAAAACTGGAAATCATATCAGACATGTAGATGCATAAAGATGGAGTCTGCAAATATAAAAACTAAAAGTATACAGACCATCTCTTCCTTTGTCAGAATCATTCTCTGGGTTGCAATTTGAAGTGACTTCAGTTCTCTCTCAGCTTCATGGAGGTTCTCTAGAGCAGATGTTGCCTCATCCCTCGCCGTCTTAACTCAAAATTCCACATGTTTGTAAAACAGCTTTAGAAAAACCAGTAAGATAACAAAATATGTAAAATTTAGTTGGATACCTCAGCTTCTGTCCTAAGTGTAATAATCTCGCTGTTTAGACCGTTTCTAGCGGTTTGTTCCGCAACCCTTAAAGCAGCCTGCAAAGAGAGTCCTCTTGAATTGCAGTTCAACACAATTGCATAAAAGCATAGAGAGCACAAGACTATCTATTTATGGTTTTTTTTTCTTTCTTTTTTTCCTTTTTAACAACAAGCAAAGCAGAGAGAAACATAAGCGTGTGTACAAACCTCCCTTTGCTGTAGGGCTGCCTCTTTTCTGAATAGTAAAACAAACAAAAGAAGAAAGTTAGCATAAAAAAGGACACAATTTAAGAAGTCCGCGGACGTTGAAGAAGCATGCCTGCTTAGAAGACGGGCTTCTAAAGTTACACCTTCCCCAAGAGTAGCAACCTAAAAGAGAAGGAAAAAAAACGTTGGAAAGGAAGAAAAATCCCAGTACTATTATTTTTATTATTACTTTTCTAATGTTGTCTTGTCAAGTTGATATAATAAGGCTAAGGGGTGTCATAGAAAGTGTAGACGGTTACCTGTTTCTCGAGCTGTCGACCTCTTGCCTCTGCGTCCTCGCACCTCTCTTCTGCAAGTCGAAGCTGGGGAGGCACATATCAAAATGGAGTTCCAAAAAATCACAAGGTAAACGTATCTATTTGTCTAAAATTCGGTGAATTTAAGGTGCTGCAATAGCTATATTCTTGATATAAGATTGATTACATCTTTTGGATATGGCTGTTGCAGCACTTCTCATTGGGAACTTAAAGAGAAGGAAAAACATTATTCATGCCCTTCACAGAAGAAAGATATTAGATAAATAAGTCAAGGTTAATCTACCAAGGATTTCATACACATGAAAATTACTTCAAAAATTTTTTGGCATCACCTTTTCAAGTAAGCTTTCATTTTCTTCCTGTAGCATATCAAGCTGCAATGAAACCAAACCTTGGTAAAATATTGAAATAAAGCCTCTTAACCTAAGGAGAGTGAAGCTTGAAACTGCACCAACTTGAGAAAGTTGATATGGTTTCAAACAAGTCGCCTATATCAACATGATCTTGCCATCATGGAACTTTTATTGGACATACCTCATCTTGTAAAACCGAAGAAGAACGTTGGTTGCCGGTTTCTCTCAAATTCATACTTAAATCTAGTGACAGCCTGCTCATTAACCAGAACTTATTAAAACAATGGCCTAATAATGAATTTTGAGGTTTTAAAAAAGAATATAGTTCCATAGAAGATGGACAAGGATACCTTTTTTCTCTTGCAACGTGAACATCTGAGGAAATCGCGGGAGAGGGTGGCTTAAGCGAGATTGGAACACTAGCTGGAACCATGGAAACTGTCTTAATTCCTAAATGAGGAAGGCTAACTAACGAAGAACGAGCAGAAGGGGGTTGTTCAATGGAAGACTGAGATGATAATCGCAAAGATGTCGTTGAACGAGCAGACTTTGGCTGCTCATTAGGATTGTTTTGCTGCGATGTTCGAGTAGCTGTAGCCGAATAACTGGATGGAGATTGTCCAGAAGAGTTTGGAGACTGCAATCGTCGAATATTAGGAGCCACGGAATATGCTGATTGAGGCTGTTCGACAGAGTTTATGGACTGCAAAAGTCGAGTTCCACTAGCTGAAGTTGAAAGACCCGATGATGATGATTGGGGTGATGATGATACTTTCTCTAAATTGTTTAGAGATGATGATGATGATCTAGGACCAGGAACTGCTCTTGTTGAAGAAGATTGATCTTGATTATTAACACAACGAAGAGACTAACAAACACAAACATCGAAAAAAGATAAGCATAATGTGATGATCATAAACCAGATTAACATCATGCGGTATTCCATTTAGGCCACTCAGTAATACCATAGGAGAGCGAGATCTAATAGCCCTGCCACCACCTAGTCCGAGGCTTCTTGTGCCACCATAATCATACAAAAGATCATCCTCTTCATCATCCTCGTCTGCAGCCTGGTGTGCCATGACATGCGCCAGCCTCTGCGCTGCAGCTTTTGCATTCTGCGCCTTCCTGGCATTGGCCAAGCCAGTCGTCGAGCCCATCCTAGTGTGGCGGTTCAGAGGCGATGCCATTGGCGACGAGGGTGTCACCGGCGTTCCCGTGTTGCTGTTCTGCTTGGCATAAACTTGTCTTGTTCTATCCATAGCCAAATACTAATTGAGAGAAACAAAAAAGGAAGGAAAAGAAGTATTAAAAAGAAAAAAAGAAAAAAAAAGAGTTGAAGTTGATCAATAATATCTATTAAAATCAATACCAAATGCAATTACTATTGCCTCAATTTTGGTTATGCAATGCAGAGAAGGATAGGCTGTTTTTGCCAATGCCTCCTGAATGGTAAGGCCATTAAGGAAACTGCCAAAGGCCTCCCTTAAGTCAAGGCTCCTTATTTTTAGGATCATTAACTAATTATCTCTATCTCAAAGGTTGTTTTGTTTTGAGCTCAAATATCTCATTCTTATTTTATTTTTCTTTAAAGAAAGAAGATGATAAATTATTAATGAGACGTTTGATTCATAAATTTAAAATCATAGTTTATGATTCTAATTTTTAAAAATTAAATTTTTTGTGAGAAAAAAATACTGTACAGAACCAAGAACCATGATTCACAGCTAGGAAAAACCTTTGAAACAAACATCTCATAAATTTTACATAATTGTTTCCTTAATAAGAGAAAAAAATAATCTTAAAAATAAATACATAAATAAATAAATAAATAAAAGAAGAAGAAGAAGAAGTGTTAAAGTACGGAAGGCGCAAAGCTAAACCGGGGGTTTTATACTCTTTAATAGAGAAAGCCGCCATCTGCCTACTGCATCAGAATCAGAACCTTTTCCCCAAATTCGCTTTTCAACCAGACCTAGGGTTAGGGTTTCCACATTGAGCGCCCAATTGTCTCTGCAAATCCACTCGAGCTCCAATTTTTCGTTCTCGTCTGATTCGAAAATGCGCGCTCTCGAAGATATCCTCTCGCAGCCAGGAGTCCAAGCCCATACTGCGCAGAGCTCGAATCTTACCCTAACAGTGGAAGATTCGGGTCCGGTATTCTCCAATTGGATCACGGAGTGCCATGGATTTTGGCATAATGCGGCGTTGATCGTTGCCTCGCTTCTCTTCGTCCTCTACTTGGGATACCAGGCAAGGCAAAGCTTCCCTAAGCTCTCCCATGGCCGGTCTTACATCATGGTCGCGTATTACGCTTGTCTTTGGATTGTCAGTTTGCTCAATCTCGCCTGGTGCCTCTTTCAGGTTCTTGTCGTTTCAATTTTTTATACCGAAGTTGGTGTTTTTATTGTTTCTATTTTTTCTGTTTAGGTAATTTCTTGTTGGTGAACCTTGATTTAATGATTATTGGTTTCGAATTATGGTTCCAGGTTTGATTGTTGCCTTGTTTAAGTTTTGGACTTAATAGCAGTTTTGTGCTATGATTATGGTTTGGCTGGATTTGAGGATACTGTTTTTATTCTTGAAATGCTGGTAACTGTGGTTGTCGTTTTGAGAGTAATTCTGTGAAAAATTAAGTTTCTGAATGGTGCTGTTGTTCTTTGTTTTCTTTAGTTTTTTCGTAGTTCAATTGCCGCAATAGATTACTTTTAGATTTCTCTTAGTCTTTTAGTATTGGGTTGTGAAAGTCATGTTGTCATTTTAGGTAACCAAATTTGAATTTCTGTTCAAAACTATGAACCAAATGACTATGCCAGATCGGGAGATTCCATGTCTCAAACACACTAGTAGAAGGGTGAATTTTGGGTCGTTGACTAGGATTAAGTTTCCTACATACTCTACTCGAAAGTCGTCTCTGTATGGCATATAGATGCCAATGCCCCTTGTGCTTTTAAGTTATAATGGTGGCTGTATTTTTGTGGAGAACAATGTTTTATCAAGATAGTATTGTAACTTTCTAACCAGTGAGTGTCAATTAGGGGCTTCTGTATGGCTCTGTATGGAACTTGGTTACTTTTTTCATGTGCTTTCAGTAATCTTAAGTTAAGAAGGTTGAACTGATGGTGCCTTTTCATAATACTATGAAATGTTATTTTCGTCTCGATCTTGTTATGATTATGCTATCAAAGTCCCCTTGATGATTTGTTTTTGGATCCTTTTTTTTTTTTAAATGTTTTTGGATGCTTTATACCAAGTTTCCTTTATCTTTTAGCTAAGAGTGGGTTGGATTCTTGAGCACAGGCATGGGAGTGCACTCCTGGAAAAGAACTAGCGTGGAATGTCTTATCTTTGTTTACCACTTCTGGGATGCTATTTTTGGAAGTAAGCTTGCTAGCATTTTTATTCCAAGGAAATCATGTGAATGGACTAGACGCTATGACACGGACTTTTGGGGTTTCAGGGCTGCTTGTTGGGTTGGACCTAATTCTCAAGGTATCTATTCTGGTTTTCTTCCATTTCCATCCTTCTGGAGAAATCTTATTTGTTTGTGATTCAAATAGTGCTTAGATTTTACAAGGAATTTTACAAGTTTTCCTTCACCTGTTGTTGTTGGAAAATGCACATTGCTGTAAATAGCCACTTAATACTGGTTTGTCTTGCAGGCAATATATCTGTTTGGATTTGGGATCCCATTATTCATCGACAGCAATGACCAAACGCATCATAAGAAATGGGGCTTGTGGATTATCCACAGGCTGGTGCTGACTGCTGTTTATGGTCTTGTATTGTTTATGTACAATTCCAAGTGGAGAGAAAAATTACCAGGTAAGGTCACTACTGTATTCTTTTCGTAGTTTCAAGTTGGTTGGCATCAAATTTGGGGCTGTATAATTGAATCTGATTGTTCTGCTCTCTTTTTGCAGCAAGACCTGCATTCTACAAATATACTGCGATCATGTTCTCATTGAATGCACTAGCGTTGTTTGCCTGTGGACTTACTGGGAATGGGGCTGGATTTGGATTCTGGTATATCTACATTTTTTTTTTTATTTCTTGAGCTACCAGTTTCCATCTCAAGTCGACCTTTACTTTCTGTAGCATTCTAAAGCACCAACTTTTATTGCAGGTTATATGGTGCTACTATTGTCTGTTACCATGCGTTTTATCTTCCTCTTATATACGTAACGTTTCTAGCTGATTTTTTCCAGGTTAGCATTCATCTCATGCGTGATAATATCTTCTTTTCTTTCATTAGACTGTCTTCGTCTTCCTCTTCTTTTGTTTTGGTTTGATGATCAGATATTCTTTTGTTACTTCAGTCTTTAACTATTGCTTTCAAAGTAGTAGTATCCTACTAAATTACTAATTTTACTTTTATTAACACCAGGAGGAAGATTTGCACTTGGAAAGTGTGTACTACTCGGAGATGAAAGATGCCGGCTTCTTCGATGTGGATTGGGAATGAATGACGTGGAGCCATCTCAAACCGTAAAATGGTGTAATCCATCAAAATCATTGTAAATAAAAGTAAATATTTTCATGGTTTGACGAAATTCCCATCCTGCAAGTAGTTCTGTCACTCTATTCTATGACGCAAAACCACATTTCAGCTTTGCTTTTGTAGTTTGTAAATCTAATAATTTACGTTTGGTGCTACTGATCAGTCTCATTCTTAGTAGGTTGTAAAATCTACATGGGTAAAAACAATTGTACACTTGTTTTCTAGTTTCGTAGTTATTAAAACTTGGTTGATACAAGAATGATTGTGATGGATAAAGTTGATGAAAATGAATAGTAACGAACACTGCAATGAATAATTTTTTTCTGCAGAATTCCACTGGTAAATGTTTGGGGAACTTGTTCCTTTTGATTGTTTGTCAAGCTGTAAGGTTTTATTCCTATAAGGAAATTTTACATTTTTGTACCATGCGTATTAAGAAAATTAAAAAAATATATATAATTTCACCTAAGAGGTATAAATTGAACATAAAATTGATCATTTGAAGGTACAAAAATGCAACAATCCGAAATGTAGGACATAAAAATATATTTCTTCCTGAAACGAATTTGAAAGAGAGTGATCATGATTCGTGAAACGTTTATTTCTCTCCCTTTTTTTGGTTGAAATTGTCCTTTATTAAATGAGAACTTCATGGTAGGAATATTTTTTTCCGCTACCGATAGAGCAGTTGTTTTACATTATTAGATTTTTAAGCTTTCACGTTAAAAATTTATATAATGCGGGACATAAAATTGTTCCCACTCAGATTATACCACTAAAAATTAATCCACCAACTAAAAACAATTCATACTAACAGTGAAAAATGACGGTTAATCACATAAAAGTTCCTTTTCTTTGTTTATTTGCTCTGTGTAAAAGTTTTCTTGATATGTGTCGTGTGATTTTCGAAAAAGAAAAATGAAATTTATTCTTATGAGGACAATACTTTATCACTCACAAAAAAAATAGTCTTATTAAATTAGATTTCACCTATTTATCTAATCACACCCACTTTATATGTGAGTAGTATGGTTTTAATCCCACGGAGAATATGCTCTCCGCAAAATACGTTATCGATTGCTTTCCTTGAACCTGTGGAAGCTCAGACACATCCGGGTACTACTGTGTTTGCGCCTGTCTTCCAAGTTTAGCGCACGAAAAAAGAAAAAAAAAAAAAAAAAAGAATTTACCTTTATGAGTGATCTGGACTTTTATCTTACTTTTTATAAATACTCTTAGTGTAATTATTTGACAAAATAAAACAAAAAAACAAAAAAACAAAAAGAGAGAGAGGGGGAGAGGAGAAGCATGCGGCCTATCTTCCAGTTTTCATGTGCTACTTTGTAATTGAAGCATGTGAGTGAAAATATTTTTTAGATTCTATGTTTTAAAAGGCAAATGATCTGAATTCTTCACTTAATCAACTAGAAATAGAATCGGACTAAGACAATAACAAAAAGGGAGAACGCAAGACACTCCTCAATACTTATAAAAAAAAAAAAAGCAATGTACTCAAACGACTAAACTGTTTATGTCAGAACAAAAACAAAAAGGTCCTAGAGTTCATGACCGAAACTGCTAGATACTCAGCAGTCATAAGAAAGCTAAACTTCATATTGCCGCTGCCTCTTTCTCAGCCTGCGTCTCTGCCTCTATCACTCCTTCTTAGTAGGGTTCTTAGCTGTCCTGCTTCTTCGCAGAGAGCTTCTCAATAAGTTCTGCAGCTTCCTCAACAGTACTGATGCTCTGAGCGCTCTCCTCTTCAACGCAAATTCCAAATTCCTCCTCAAGTCCCATAACAATCTCAACCTACAGCACACAGAATAAGTGAAAGTTAAAGCAAGAACCACTACGGATAAAAAAATAATAATAATCATAATAATAATAATCATAATAATAATAATCATAAAGAGACTGAACTCAAACCTACTGATTCACTAGAATACAAGTATAAACATTTGGTTTACTTGCTCAAGTGTTTAATTAATATGCATACAAGAGGGTCAAAGCGGCAAGTAACTCAAAATCCCAATGCTCATATGACAGCAGAATTATTATCTAAAAACTTGTTAGGATTTACAGTATCAGAGTAATAATTATTTAAAATTATTATGTAAAACTTGTCATGTATAATTTCAGAGTACCGTATCAAGAGAATCAGCCCCAAGACCGGAAAATGTTGACTTCCCAGAAACTTCGGCGTCGTCTGCAAGTGCCAATTGTTTCTTCACTATACCGATCACCTTGTTCACTATTTCTACCTTGGCCTGCACAAGGACATTTTACATACATTTTACATAGTGGCAGAACACTACACATCACATGCACAAAAGAACTGATACAAGAAAAATTAATCAAAAGTGTATATATCAAGGGCCACACATGGGTACATTATTCCTATTACATGCAAAGCACGAATGTGTTTTGCGCAATTTTGCGCAATGTTCCTATTTCTAAAATTCTTTCAGTTTGGGAAAGTAAACTTCTATGTAATTCTGATGTAACAATGCCCACAAATCTTAGTTTGGGAAAGTAAACTTCTATGTAATCCTGATGCAACAATGCCCACTAATCTTAGTTCATGTCACATGATATCATAATTCACTTACAATTAGTATAAAGGCAAAAGCTAACTTGAGCAAAGCACACCCCGATAATTGCCAGAAAGCTACAAGGTATGTAACTGGGTCATGGTGTAGGCAATATGGCCATGTTTTCAGAATCATAAAGAGCCATGGCCACATTTTCCGATAGGCAATATGTAACTGGTTTATGTTGTAGTTTAGTATTTTCCGGTCGCCAAATTTATAAGTTCACATCAACCAAAATATCTCCTAGATTCGCTGCATGTTAAGCGAAGAAAACAAAAGGTAGACAAAAACACTTCACTAACGGAAACATACAGCACAGGTAACTTGAAGGCGACCAAAACGTGGCCTTGAACTGAATGACAGCGAGCTTCTTCCATAAGCATTAAGAGAAACTGACCTCGAGCCATAGATGCTGGATGTGGCCTGTTCCAGAAATACAGTCATTAAAACTTCAATATGTGTCAACAACAAAACAAAATAGCACAGAGAAAAACGCCATCCATCACTCTCTCCAAGTTACTCTTCTTCAAATAATAAATTGTTGCAAACATGCAGGTGACCGAATTAGCAGTATAAGATTGAAAAAAAAAACACAACTACAACAACAACTGCAAAAGCCTCTTGACAGCTTATTTAAAAGGAAAAATATATAGAATAAAAATTGTAAAATTCTGCTACAGCAAAGAGAGGCTGGGTACTAATAAGTTCCCGTTGCTTAATTTCATAATTTTTTGCCTGTCCCCATTTGAAGAAAATGCTTTCGATTACCACATGTCACCAGCAAACCACTTATTCCTACCAAACAAGTCCTATTCCATTACAAATTTGTCTTCATGACATATCAATTATTTTCTTCAAGCAAAAAAAAAAAAAAGATATTGAATATCGTAAATAGATTAAAAAATGAGTATTCCTAACAACCAATTTCCGATGCTAAATGGACCGTGATTTAATCATATTCATGTGCATGGATCCATGGACTTGCGATTCCAACAAAAGCATACGCAAAATCTTCAGATCTCAACATCTTCGTATTACATTTACAAGCTAAGTCACGAAAATCTAACACCGTATCAACTCAATAACCAATCGAGACCAGCTCAAATACAAAATACCTAGAACCGAACTAAATAGAAGCAATGATTACGGAACTTCAGCAAATGGAGAGAAAAAAGGATCTACGAAATCGCAATTCACAAAGGAGCAACAAGATTTGCAAAACAGAGATCGAATCGAAAACCACGGAAATAAGACATACCAAGCTCCGATGCAATTGCGAGGGGCGAGATCGGAGGGAAATTGAAGCTCCTGTGACGGACGCCATTGATGGATTCACCGAGCTCTGAAAGAGAAGGGAAAGCGTAGAGAGAGAGAGAGAGAGAGAGAGAGGGAGGGAGAGAGACGGAGAGCACGAGGCGAGTGACAAAGGCAGGCAGGCAGGCAGGTCGTTGATACACTTGGTTTAAGAGAGTATTTATAGCTCTGATCTGAAGCCTAACAGTGATTTTGACAACGAAGATTCTTGAGATATTTACGTTTTCTGCCACATAAACAAACCCTGCATCCACATATACCACGGCTACAAAAACTTCTCCATTTTTCTACTATAGTTTTTCTTTAAAAAATATCGGGGAGAAAAAATTCGAGTTACAATTTTATTTAAATTCATATTTTTTTATAAAATTTGAGTTTAAACCTAAACTCGAATTTAAATTTTTCATTCAACTCGAGTTCATAAACTCGAACTTAAGTTAACGAACAATATTTTTTCTATTATTAAAAATGTCATAATTTTTTCGTTTTAATTCTGATTGAGATGATTTTTTTCTATACATTTACAACGAAAAGACGAATAAAATCACACACATATACCTTATTAAAATTTTTTATCACCGTTAAAATACTATCTAAATATAAATTTAAGTTTTGACCAACTCAAATAGATTCTCAATTCAAATCATATTTTAAATGTACACATTCACACACAAACTCAAGTTACAACTTTAACTCAAGTTATAACTCAAACTCAACTCAAGATCATTACTCAAGTCACCCTAATTTAAAAATGTAAAAGAACAACTCCTGAAATGCCCTTGAAGTCTAAGCAAGGCTATTTTATTCTTTTCATTCTCTCTTTCAGCAGCTCTCTCCGACGCCTCCCCAATGCCACAATGAAGATTTCTTCGGTGTGATTGAGACTTGTTTGCTCGTCCTGGTCGAGCTCTGTGATTTTTGTTGCTACTTGTGGATTTTTGTAATTTTTATGTAGTTTTGGTGGATTTTTTTTTCTTTATTATTTTGATTTTTTTTGTGACTTTGTTTTCGTGTGTTTAGAGTAAAGATTCGTGTCATAGTTCATATCATAATTCGTGATTTGTTATAGTATTTTTCTCATAAAAAAACACATAAATCGAGAATAATTTCGAATTATAATTTGCGGAGACGTTTGGTTCATGGATTAGAATCATGTGATTAGAACCATTTTTGATTTACGTGTATTTTTTATGAGAGAAAATACTGTAACGAACAATGAATCATAATTCAAATCATGATTTGAATCCTCTAACCAAACATCTCAGGCGCCGGTAACCACGATTTCCGGAGGATATATTTTAAATATTCTATGTAAATACTTTTTTCAATGGCATGTCAATTTAAACCTTGTATTTGGGGCAGTTCCATAAAGTCCCCAAGATTCTTCTGTTCGATCATTCACACGTGGTCCATAGAAGACATAGCACCCAAGACAATGCCCAGTGCTCACGCGCCGAGTCCATTGGGCTTTGATGGAATAGTAATGGGTACGGCCATGAACTTTGGAATTGGTGCTTATGGTGGGTCTGGTTGGAACGCCAAGACCAAGTTAACAATGGTTCAACGGGCAGGTGGAGGATTCTTCTTTTTTTTTTTTTTAAGGATTAGAGAGTTGAAATTTTGTGAAAAATTAAGGGCTGTTCTTTTATCCTTTTTGAGTTAGGTAATTTGAGTGTAATTTTGAGTTGAGTTGAGTTTGAGTTATAACTTGAGTTGAAGTTACTTAAGTTTGTGTTTGGATGTATATATTTGTATTATGGTTTGAAATAAGAATTTTTTTGAGTTTGTGTTTGATTGAGTCAAAACTTGAATTTGTATTTAGATAATATTTTAATAAAAACTCAATGCTGATGAAAAATTTTAATAAGGTATATGGTGGGGTTTTATTCGTCTTTTCATTGTCAACACATAGAAAAAAAATCATCTCAATCAGAATTAAAACGAAAAAGTTATAGCATTTTTAAGAATATAAAAAATATTGTTCATTAATTTGAGTTCGAGTTTCTAAACTCGAGTTGAAGAGGAAATTTTAACTCAAGTTTTAGTCCCAAACTCGAGTTCAAACTTAAAAGAACATGAACTTAAATAAAGTTGTAACTCGAGTTGCTTTTTTTGAGTTTTTAAACTAAAAAATGGGGCTGCCGAACAGCCCCTAAAGGCTCTGTTCATTTCACCAATTCGAATTTTGTTATAATAAAAAACTTTCAAAAACAATCACATTTTATTTTTTTACTACAATAAAAAACTCTCACACTTAACTCGAATCAGCGAACTAAAGCGACTCTAAATTTAAGTTCCTCAAGCGTTAAAAAAGTGGTATAAACTATGTTTATAAATGAATCTTGTGTCTTTTCAAATGACTGGTCGAAGGTTAATAAAGTATATTTTGCCGAAATTGTTATTAGGGTCAGACACTTAAGTAATCTATCAGATTATGTTGTAAAATCAATCGTGATTACAAATCACATTATCATGTGGCACTTCAAATCTCGTAACAGCAATATCCGTGAGCATCGACAACACCTTACTCGCCACACCAAACGGGACAGAAGAAAAGGTGGGGGTAGAGATTCTAAAGGGAAAATGACCTAAGTTAAGAAAATTAAAACATATACATAAGGGTAAAAGATGACAATTTAAAAATAAGAAAAATAAATAAAAACAAAGGTGGAGAATTTTGTGAATTTTATTACATTTTATGAATTTTGTGTCCTTACTTAATGCTATGAATACCAACTTAATAAGAACGAATTTCTAAAAGAATGACACAAGCTAGAAAAAAGTGAACTAAAGGGGTTGGATTTCCTCACCTTTTATCGTAATAAAAAAAAAGAGTGTTTGCGTTGTTTTTATAGTCGGATTTCTATTAAATTCCATTAATCCCGTGTAATCTGTTGTTATTTTGTAGTTTCGATTTAAAACGTATTATACGCTACCTACTGTAGAATTCTCTCATTGTTTTCTTTAATTTCATTTGCTGAAAGTAAAGCCAACAATAACAATAAGAAATTACGCACTCGGAAGGTCAAACAATCCAAACTAGAGCGACTTATAACCAGATCTCACTATTCTTCAAAGGACAGTCAGACTTGACATTACGTTTGGTTTATAAATTAGAATTATGAGATTAGAATCATTTTTGATTTACGTGTATTTTTTGTGAGAGAAAACACTATAACGAACCACGAACAATGATTCGAATCGGGATACGAATCCCCCAACCAAATAAATAGAGCATTATTTGTTTTTTTTTGAAAGGGTTTATTTGGTATTTTTGCACTAGTTGGTAAATAAAAAATCGTTTTATCAAATCAATAAGTAAATGATTCCGCAATAAATATATTTGTCCCAAAAATTTAGAGCATTCCAAACTAATATCCCTTGGAAATTTCATGATCATCATGCTATAAATCCAAGGTACATAAGCAGACTCATGAGAAAATAACAATTCCCTCTAATGTCTGAAATATACAAACCACTTCAGACAAATGAAACCTAAAATTTAATTACTTCCTGAGAGTTTTTCCAAGTAAAATTGACAAAAAATAAAATATCAGTAATTTTTTATTTTTCAACTATTAAATTTATATAAAAAAATATTAATTTTATATATTTTTTTAATTTAATATGATTTTAATAATATTTAACGATTAAAAAATGATTCAAAGGTTGGCCAGTCTACCGAAAATGGTTACTTCCTTCCCCTTCACTTAGTTACTTTAAAAAAAAAAAAAAAAAGAGTTATATAATGCAAATCCATTTTGAGCTACTTCCAACCGCTTAATTTCTTTTGTACGTCAGCTATATCAATCAAAGATTTAAAATAACATGGTACATTAAGTAGCAAAAAAAAAAAAAAAAAAAAACATGGTACACTCTAGCAAATTCTGTGTTTTCTCTTTGCTTTTATGTTTATTTGTTATCATGTCCATTTCTTCTTCTTCTTTTTTTTATTGACAAATTTTCCTCATTAATATAACTCATTAAATACTACAATCTCGTTATATTTTTTTTGTTTAAATATATACCTGAATTTTTGTCACTATCCTTTTTACTGCCCAGATGTCATTTTCTATAATAAATTCATGGAAGTGGGGACCATGGACTTGGCTTAATTCATGCTTCGTTATGTCACAATTTGACGTGATAGGCGTGGTTGAGAAGCCCGTCAAATTTCTAGCTGTCCGTGGGAATAGTTGGGTTAAGTTTAGGGGAGCCATGGAAAAGTGGCTTTCGCATAAATGGCCTCCTCATGTCTCTTTCCAAAACTCTCAACTAACATGTAGGTTTCCTCTCACTTTCGCCACAATAAAATTTATCTTGTAGATAAGAATTAAGATACATGCATGACACCAAATAAAAAGTTAGTATTTTTATTTCATTTAGTACTATATAGTCTAACCGACATTAGATATTCTGATACGCCTAGCGTACTGATAAGTTATATTTTTTTAACCGTTAAATCTGCGTACTTTTTTATTTTTACGTGATTTTATATAAATTTAACGGACAAAAAATCTGGCATCGGCCTCTGGTATGTTAGCTATCAAAAAAAAAATGTCTCTAACAAAAAAAGAATTTGGTTTAAGAATTATCACTTTTGAGCCTACACCAACCATAATCCTCACAGGAAAAAAAAAATCTTAAAAAAAAAGCAAGAAGGAAAAAAAAAAAAAAAAAGGTGATCTCAAATTACCATTACAATGACTGTCCTTTTATTTGGCAGAGGTTACCAGTACAAATTAAGAAAAGGAAAAGATGAAAAAAAAAAAAAGCAAAAAATAACAGAGTACATTTTTTTTCCCTCTTTTTTGCTTTCCCCTGTAATCTATAGTTTAAAGATAAAATTCGTTGAAATAACAGGGGGATACAGGTAGTTTTTTTTTTTTTTAGTGATTTTTAACGAGTGAAATGTTTTTTTTAATGGGAAAATGAGTGAAATATTAATTATCGATTCGTTAGGAAAAAACAAAAAAACAAAACAAAACAAAACAGAGGATCGTCTTCATTTTGTCTACATTTAGTTCCAACCATTTAATAACTTATATTTTCTGTGATTTTTGATGAAAAAAAGATAACATTTTATTTTGGTTGGAAAGAAAAGATCTAAACTATATTTTCCTTGTATATATGTATCTTCTTCGCTTGTTGCTGGAAATACATATTATATACACATATTATATATATATATATATATTTATATATATATGTATACTTGCTTTTTTTGTGAATCAGAAATTCGATATACTTGCTTATATGCTAAGTTTGGGTATGGAAATGAAACGTATATGTCAAAAACCCTGTATTGATTTCTTGACGTATCATGCTAATTTTCCAGAAAGATTACTACTGACTAAGTGCCACGCCAGTGGTCCAAAATCCAAATAGCTAAAATATTATTCTCTTTTCTACCCCCGTACTACATGAATTGTGATATTGTAAAATTATAATTTTTCCACTACCTGAATTGATACTATATATATACATATATGTATACATTGATTGAGTAAATTTAACATTGACATTAACATTAGCAGTAATTATGGTCTCTTGGACGGAGAAAAGTTGGGATTTGGAAAAATTGAGAAAGAAAAATAAATTTTTTTTAAAAAAAGTTTGATCAGTGGCAGTGTTGGAAAGGTGAATTAACTTTAACAGCTTAAAAGTTTATGATTAGTCAAAATTAGAAAAATAAAAAATAAAAAGCAAAGGGATTTACGGAAAGGCAAAAGCCAAAACTATGGTCATAAAAAAGCCTTCGAGAAAGGAGAGATCCAAAAGTTTCTTCCATATAATGACTGTAATAATGCTCTAAACAATATATATATATATATTTTTTTTTTAGTTTGAAAGATAAAACAATATTAATGATAAATTAAACGATTGAGTAATCAGAAATAGCCACTTCTATGTCACATTTCATTTTATTGCTTGGCATTTGATTAATTGATTTGCAGGAAAGCCATATTCACATATATATTCATATATTTCATAGACTTTTTACATGCGCTAATAAACAACAATCAAAATACACCTTTTGACGTATATATGGATTACTTTCACTCTCTCTCTTTATGGCTTTCTTTATTTTATCTATATGTGTATCTTTGTCCTTAATTATATATATATATATATATATATATTGGCAGATATTGTGTATATTTGTAAGCAACGTTTGGTTCTAATGATAAAAGACTCGTCCGCCAATTCATCCTAGTTATAACCATTAATATACGCAATTACATTATTTATAGAGAGCAGAGAAGTTATTTTTCCATGCCATTTCAGATAACCCTTTACAATTCGTTCTATCCTTTGAGTACATATATAAGCAAGAAAAAATATTATTTCAGCTCATCATTGATTTGGTAATTTTTCAGTAACCTGTTTTCACTTTGGCGGAGAGATGACATATTTTTCGCCTCTCTCATTTTTCCTAATTTATAATGATATTGCAAAAACAGTTATATGATTTTGCATACAAAATCTAGATTCCTCCGATGACAAGGAAACTAAAGGTCTTTAGAATTGATTTTATTTTTATTTTTTATGTTTTTTGAAAAAGAAAAAATAAAAATATTTTTAAAACGACGTTTGACGCAATAAAGATAAAAAATAGAAATGAAAATAATTTTTTAGTTTTTTATTGATTTTTTATTTTCGTTTTCTCATCTCTCGAGCGGAGAGAGACAAAAAGAGACATTAATGGGTTTTTTACATTAAAAATAATTTTTTGATAAAACTACCAAACGCATTTTCAAAAATAATTTCTGTCTGAGATTGAAAACATTTTCATTTTCATACAAAAAATAAAATCATTTTAGAACGAATTCCAAATGCGCCCTAAATATAACATTTTATTTTTAGAATATAATTATATTTCGTTATTAACTCTATATATTTCGTGCACATAGATTATTTAATACATATTTACCATCAAAGTACCATATATTATCTCATTGAGCGCGTTTAGAATTCGTTCTAAAATGATTTTATTTTTTATATGAAAATGAAAATGAAAACGTTTTCAATCTCAAACATAAATCATTTTTGAAATTGCGTTTGGTAGTTTTATCAAGAGACTGTTTTCAGTGTAAAAAACCTATTAATGTCTCTTTCTCTCTCTCTCTGCTCGAGAGAGGAGAAAACGAAAATAAAAAATAAAAAACGACTAAAAGTCGTTTTTCATTTCTCTCTCATTTTATACTAAACTAAAAAATCATTTTCATTTATGTTTTTTATCTTTATTACGCCAAATATCGTTTTAAAAACGTTTTCATTTTTTCTTTATCAAAAAATGTGAAAAATAAAAATGAGATCAATTCTAAACATGATCATTATTTTTGGTGATTTTCTTTTAATTAGGTGGATACTTTTCTTCTGATTGATTTACCACTTTTCTTATGGCCAGTGAAATTATGACTACAAAAAGACGAGCACAAATCATATTAGGAACTTTTGTTTTGAAAAGCGTCATGGTCAAACGCTATGAATCACAAATCTAAAATTTATTCTCTCTTGTAATGGAATCCTAGCATTTATGATCATTCTTCTTTTTTGGATGGAAAAGTCCAAATATGAAAAGGGATCAAAGTCTTTGCCTGAGGCACTAAGTTGAGAAATGACATCATTGCGATCAAAAAAATGAAACCTTGTTGCATGGTTTCCATCTTAACTTTAATGGAATTATTACATTTCCTGCCTTGTTACACTGTGTTTTTGTTAGTTTTTTTCCCCCCTAAATCAAGATTAACTCGTGGAGCTTTTTTTATCTTTTTACTTGTTCGTGTGAATATTCATCATATCTAAAAGATTACAAAAAAAAAAAAAAGAAAAAGAAAAAAAAAAGCTAATGAGTTCAGCGTTGTAGATGCTGAAAGCATGAGTTGATTGAACAATAAAATCGGTGTTTTAGTTAATTTGCACTATGTTACTCCTCGCGTGTTGAATTATGCTTCAACAATGTCTTCTCTCTTCTGTATGATAGGATTGTTGAACTTACAGAATAGAGACAAGACATTCAAGTGGAATTTCGTGGTCAATTTTTTTTTCTTTTTTCATAAAAAAAGATTTGTACATCCCACTCTTTTATGGGGTGGGTGTTTAGTACGAGAATTCATGTCATAATTCGAATCATAATTCGTATATCATTATAATATTTTATTTTATAAAAAATACACATAAATTAAAAATAATTTTAAATTATAATTCTAAATTTATAAACTAAATACTCACTTAATTTGATGATGGTGTCGGACTAGATTTATTTTTATAGTCATAGATATTATGGTCTCGTTCATTTTACGGATTTGAGTTTTTAATTTGAGCTGAGATGTGATATTTTTTGAGAGTTTTTTACTGTAATAAAAGAAATTAAATGTGACATTTTATGAGAATTTTTTACTGTAAAAATTTAAAATTTAAAATTTAAATGGGTGAAATGAACGAGGTATATATAAGTGAAGTGATGGACTTTTTCTCACTAGAACTGCCCTGGCTCACGACTCACACAGGGTTAATGCTATTAATTCTAGTCTACGCAATATAATTTTTCCTTTTTGCTGAAAGTCTACTCTGCAATTACTTATTTCTGCTCAATTCTTCTTTTCTAGAGGACCTAGACAAACTTTTATTTATCTTATTGTCTAAAAAAGAAGAAAAAAAAAACTTTATTCAATTCATTTATTTAATCCATTTTCAGTCGGTAGATCCGACCCGAATGACGATCCAAACTGCCGGTGCAACTAACGCTACCTTACTGATTTCACCTTCACTTGCTTCATATAAACTTTGCCGTGTTTGTTTGTTTTCAGACCACCAAACCCAAAAACAAAACCAGAGTTTCTCTTTCTCTCTCTTACAAATTTTCTCTCTCTTACAAATTTTCTCTCTCCACAATCCTATGGTTCGTCCCAGAACTTGGAATTTTCAATTACACCAAAGCTTGTCCTTATTATTATATATATATATAGATATATATGCATATCATATCTGTTTGAAAAGCGGAATTTTCACGCATAATTTTGATTCCTTTTAAAGTTTTTTCCATCTCTGTCTCCGTTTCTCTCCACAATTTCCTCTCCCAAATTGGCAAGCTTCACAGTCTATATTTATCTTTCGAATTCGAGTAGATAGGGCTTTGTTTGGAGACGCTCCGAGACGGCGTCTTTTTCGAGGTTTCTCCGCTTGTTTTCCGAGCGATCCGTGCAGAGAAATCGGTTAGTAAAAATCAAGTCAGAGTTGGTCTACGTTTAGTTGATTGAGTCACTGATTTGAATCGCTAGATTTTTCTCGGGAATCGTTTTTTCTGAATCCAAAGCGAGCGAGTGAGTATTATTGGAGTGAGCATACAAGTTTTCAGATTGATTATTGGTCAAAACTCCGAGTTCGTCCGTGTTAATTTCGATCGTTGAGATTCCGCGTTTGGTTGGCGAGAAAATTGAGTAAAGAGAAAGGAAATTGATTATCGGAAGCCTTTTGATTTTCTTTTTTCCCTCTTGGGATCCAGTGCGAGAAGCCTTTTGATTTGATTTTGCCTTTTCCTCGCTTGGGTCCTTTTTGAGTTTTTTCATTTTTCTCACGGGTCCCGTACGGTAATTAATTTGCATTATATTATTAATTTATTTAATGTCTTCTCTAGGGGTTTTGCAGCAACAAAAAGGGTAGGCACTTATTAACAACATGCGCGTGCGTGCACGCACTTATATATCAATATTATTATATTGTTTTTGCATAATTTTTTTGAGGTAGTTATATTGTTTTTGCATAATTTTTTTGAGGTAGTTTTGCAGGAATTTTTTTAGCAGGAAATTTTTTGTGACCTTAATATATAGATTTTTTTTTTCTTATGCAGGGAAAAGTGGATTTGGGGGTTTTGTGATCGGATTTAGATAAGGCAGAAGAAATGAGTAAACTTTTGGAAATTCAACCTAAAGAACTGAATTTCACAAGTAAGTCCATGATTGTTATATGGGCCATTATTTTCTTTATCTAATTAGCATCTTAGCAATCTCTACAATCATTAGCAATGTCTGTTTACTTAGTGGATGATGCTTTGTTGAGATTATGATAGGTGAAGGTTTTTATGTTATATGTTTTGTCGTCTTTTATGTTTATTTTCTCAGACCATTGATGTATTTGGTTTTGCACTATTTTTCTTTCTCCTTTCTGTTTACTGTTGGCTTCAATTTTCTGCACTTCCTTTTTCACACTAAGACGGTTTTGAGACGTATTAACTCGGACTTTTTATGAATTATCAAAAAAAAAAAAAAAACCTCAAGACTTTTTATTATTGTAAAAATCTGATGTAAAGGTCTTTTTTCTTTTATTTCGCCAGACAAGTTTGGTAAGCTGGTTGACTAACTCTGTCTTTGTTTTTCATAGTTGAATTGAAGAAGCAAAGCTCATGCTCAGTTCGGCTTGCCAATGTCACCAACTATTATGTTGCTTTTAAGGTATACTTTTATTATTATTTTTTAAATATGATTTTTATTTTTGTTGATTTTTTCACCGAGATGGATATCTTGTACAAGAATTTCATTATGGGTATGTAGATCCAATTTAATCGGAAGGAGATATTGGCAGGTTAAAACTACATCCCCTAAGAGATACTGCGTGCGGCCAAATGTGGGTATTGTCATGCCAAATTCAACTTGTGAATTTGCAGGTATGCATTTGTTAACTGCTTTTGCATCTTGATTTTCTTATTCTATAAGACTATAAGTCCCGTCTTAAATGAATTTTGAGTCTTGAGATGATTATTAATTTTCTGATGAAAATTGTTGGAAGATATGCATAATGACCTGCTTTAGATAAATTTTGAAGTGTACCCGATGTCTTAAGGTCATAACTCATAGGTTAATGGGTTTGTGTTGACAAGTAATGATGTTTTATTTGGTTTCAGCTTTCTTATTGTTGGTTTTATGCCTCTTTTTTTTTTTTTTTTTTTTTTAAATTATTGTCACTTTTATGTCAATATATAGTCACAATGCAAGTGCCACGGACATTTCCACTTGATTTGGAGTGCAAAGATAAGTTCTTAATCCAGAGCACAATTGTTTCTCCTGAGACAACTGATGAGCAAATTACAGCGAGCATGGTAAATCTCTATACTTGTTGTTAACATTGATTTCTCTTCTGGTTCCTTATCGATATTTTCCTTGTTTCTTTCAGTTTGTCAAAGATGGGGGGAAATACGTTGAAGAAAAGAAATTGAGAGTGATACTTCTCATTCCGCCTGACTCGCCAACACTGTCACCAATCAATGGAGCCTTGAACCAGGGGCTGGGCCGTGAAACTTCTTTTTCAAAAGATCAATCTTTGAATGGAGTTGAAAACACATCCAAATCGCACATGGTTAGAGAAACACTTATTCCTATTACCGTGTTGTCTGAAGACCCCTTTCTTTCATACTGATTTTCTAGAAAGGCTTGTGTTATAGTGTTTGGTCAAAATCTATTTTAACTTTTCAGGATGCATTAGAGTTGAATTCACTAGAAAAATCCTCTGTTTTAATGGGCTTCTCTGACATATGTCATTTGTTGTTTGTGGAAATATTGTTCTTTCGTACATCCATTGTCAAAGTATGTGCAAGTATCCTTTTTGAATATCATTTTATTGACCTTCTCACAAATCAGGTTACCAAGGACGTGGAGTCTGTACTGGTTAACATCAAGGAGTCAAAGCCAGCTGAGGATAAATTGAAGCCAGTGAAGAATGTGGAGTTTAAGCTAGAAAATGATGTAAAGGAATTGAAGCCGGCAAAGGGTGTAGAGGAATTGAAGCCGGCAAAGGATGTAGAGGAGTTGAAGCCGGCAAAGGATGTAAAGGAATTGAATCCAGCAAAGGACGTAGAGGAGTTGACTCCAGCAATGGGTGTTGAGGAATCAAAACCTGTAAAGGGTGTAGAGGTATTGAATCTGGCGAAAACTGTAGAGGATGTCGAGGAGTTGAAGCTAGCAAAGGATGTGGAGTTGAAAAATGTAGACATACAGGAGCTGAAGTTAGTCAAAGATGTAGAGGATATCAAGTCTAAGCTAAGCGAATTTGAACTAAAGCTCCAGAAGGTTAGTCTTCTGCAAAATCCACACTTGGTATGGTTTTATCTGTTTGCCTGTCAGTTGTATGGGGACGTTGGATTACACGAATAGTGTGTATGTTAAGATTAATATTATTTTAGTTCCTTGCTTCCTTGGGGTCTGCATCTTTTGCAGTAAGGTTGAACCTCAGTATTTGGAAAATAGGAAAGTTGATATCCTCGCCTTTGTCTATCACTCTCTGTTGTTCAAGCACAAATAGTAAAACATAGTGTTTTCCCCTTGTAGGCTGAAGTTACAATTTCAAAGCTGCTGGAGGAGAGGATTTCAAACATCAAAGAGAGAAAAATTTTGCACGAGAAATTAGTAATTTGCTCAAGCTCACTCTTATTCTTTATCGTTTCTCACATTTTGTTCAATGTTATGTCCTTGATAGAATCTTCAATATTTCTCAGTCACTGTCTTATAAATGCTGAACTTTTGAATAGAACTCTTTCTTCTTCCTCTTCACAACCCTTAAACCTTTGACCTTGAGGAAAGGGACAACAAGCCCATCCACCAAGGCACAAAGAGGATTGTAACTTTTGAATAGAACTATAGAAGTGAAATAAGTCTGGGGAATATATTCTCAAAAACCACTAGAGTCCTTGTATGGACTGATTAAGTTCCACACTGGGAGAGCTTTAGAGGGACATCCATATGGGATTCATGTGATTCGAAGCCAACCGCTATGTATTGTGAGAAACTCCCTATGGTGCTAGCTATGTATACCTAATGACAGCCTAAAGAGCCTTTTCATGCTTAGCTGCCTAAACCAAGCAAGATTCTTGAATCAAACCATTACCAGCAAGATTTGGCTCAGCCAAAACATGAGAGCGCCCCCGAGTTATCTGCATTTAAACAAAAGCATGTTGGCTAGGCCATTGATCTCAAAGCTGCTATAGACTCTTTGCCAGTAGATTTTAGTGGAAGTCTCTTGTTTAGTTTGCTTGGCCGTTGATTAGCCGAGTCATGGGTTTTTCTTTTCCTATGTGCTACCTCCGTAGCGATTATCTTGAGGGAAGGCACTAGAAACACGTTGCTTATTTTGAAAACTTGATATTCCACTTGTTTGGATGTACATCTCACATCTGTCTGGATGTCTCTAGGAAGCCTACATATTTTAAACTCTCATAATGTAATATGCAAATGTTCAACTCTTCAAAAACTGTATTTATCCCCTTCTGCATTATAGATTTATTCTTGTTTGTGACTTTAGCGTTTTTTTTTTCACTTTTTTGCAGGCGGAGTTGGGCAAAAGAGGTGTAAAAACAGTTCAGGTTGGGTTCCCTCTTCTGTTTGTTTGTATGGTTGCTCTTATCAGTGTCGTTCTTGGGTACCGGTTACACCCTTGAAGAACCCTATGCTTGAAGACGAAGCTATTATGTAAAGCCAGTATGTAGGAATATGGGTACAAAGATTTTCTTTCCCTCTCTTTACATAGAGGTGGAAAGAAAGTCATTATATGGTGGTCAGTATGTTATGTAAAAGCAAATGAAATCTAGGAGTACCTACCAAGTGTGTTCTGCATTCATATATGCTCATTTTTGCTTCAAAAACAAAACAAAACAAAACAAAAGGCGTGTAAAGATTTCCCCCCCCCCCCTCACTTGGGTTCATAGATAAGAAGGTTACTCTTTGTTTGATTATGATAGATGCCAGATTTGCTACCGGACTGGGACTGAAATTTGTAAATTGAGTATGTTGTTTATACAGAGAGCTGGAATATGATGCTTTATTACGGTGTTTAAAACGGTGTAGAGCTGATCATCGAAGTGTTTTATTTATTTTTCCACAGGCGCAAATTTTTTTTTTTTTTTTTTTTTTTAAGAAAGAAAAAGAAACATAAAACCCTGAACATCTCTCATCTCTTTGTTTATGAAACGACGAGTGGAGTTGAACGACAAAATATTATAAAGATAAAAAAATATTACAACATTGAACCGACACGCGACAAATTCTCTTATCTATCATCTCCTATCTTAGTTTATAGAAACGGCAACGACAAACACAACATAAAATGACAAGTAATCGTCAGTAAATTTCTAAAACGACAACGTGGTCTAAACGGCAACTATTTATAGAAAACGACGAAGTTAAATAAACGAGGAAAACATAAATAAACGACAACAAAGTGAAGACTAAAGAAGCATCTAACCGACAATAAATAACGTCTCTTAACATCAAAAGCGAGGTCATAAAAACGACAGCACTTGAAAAACGACAACATTTAAAGATGCGATGGAAGAAATGGGGAAAACGACAACAGCATAAAGCAACAAGTCAACAACTAGATAGCAAAATATAAACGATAGCCTTCCTAGGGAAAATGACAAGATCTCAATATAAAAGGCAGACCCAGTGCTAAAGAGGCTCCCATACTATGACAGGCTCGGGAGAAAACTCAATCCCATATGTACGCGGCCTTATCCCCGAAGGAGAGACCGTTTTCAGAATTCGAACCTTGGACCCCAGGTGCAAACGCAAGCGCTCCCACCACGGTGACAAGATCTCAATATAACAAGATAAAAATCAGAAAACGAAAGGACATACAAACTACAACTGGATCACAATTAATCAAGAAAATGAAAAGTATCCCTTCGAAGAAAATTTTGAGATGAAACGCGGTCTCCACTTGAAATTTGGATCAAAATAATTCTCATTCACAACAATTCTAAGATTCAGTACATCAATATATAGATGGCATACACTACTACACAGCTAACATATTTCTATAATTAAGCTAATACACCTACAATCACGTAAATGACACCTAATGAGTAAATCAAGGAAAATAACTAATTTCTAGGGTCAATGGAATCAATCAACAAATCTCAACATAGATGGACACGGTTTATCTATGTTTTAAACGTTGTTGTCGTTTATGGGATTGTAATGAAGGTTTGACATTGAGAGGTTGGAGAGTGAGAAAGAGACCGAGATAGGGTGTGTGAGGAGAGGAGTGCGTAAGCTTGTGAGTATTTTCAAAGAGTACAATCGACAACATTCCTAAACGATGATAAGTTTGTAAAACAACAATATACTATGAAAACGACAACTTCCGCAACACTATCTATAAATCGACAACATCCTTTAGAATGATGAAGTTCAGAAAATGACACCATCCTGAAAACAATTGAAAAACGACAATGCCCATAAAAACTATATAGCTCTGAAAAAGACAGCCCCATCAAAACGGCAATTTTCCTAAACGATAATAAATATAAAACAATAACCAACAAGGCCTTAAAAAACAACAACACAATGAAACGACTACAACTTTAAAATTAAAACAGAAAAGAAAAAAAAAACAATGCGACATCATTTTAGGAGGCCAACATCAAAACGACATACTTTGAGAACGGCAACATTATCTCATCAGCATCATTCTAAAAACGACAGCACCAAAATTTCTGCAAACGACTGCAACTACTAAAACGACAACATTCTGAAAAAAAAAGGAAGAAACATGAGTATTCTACTAAACGACAATTAGCTTATGGAACGAAAAGTATGAAAAAAATTTAAATAAAATGAATAAAAACGACAACACAAATTTCCTTTACAAAAAGTGACGGCGACCTTTAAAACGGAAACGCCATTAGGCTCGACGGACTCCCGACTCATAACTGGAGGAGAGAGAGAGAGAGAGAGAGAGAGAATGGCGAGAGAAGTGTCCGAGAGCTGCGTGGACAGTCTATTGACGGAGATGGTGTCGACCTACTGCAACCGATTCTATGCCAATAAGCCTGATCTCGCCGCCCGCAGTATCGAGGCCATTGGTTACCAGGTCGGTCACCAGCTCTCCGAAAGGTATCATCTTTACCCTAATTATTTCCTCTGATTCGGTTTTATTTCTCCTTCAGTTACTGTTTTTCTCTGATTTTGACTCAAATCAATCATATTTCGTTTGGGGGGTTTTGATATAATTGGAAAGCTTTGGGCTTTAGATCTAAAGGAGCTCATTCAATTTATCATATTATTCGGAAAATCTTTGCTCTAGATGTGGATAAAATTAGTTGGCGGAAATTAATTTTGTGCTTATTTGATTGCTGAGAAATGTGGAGAAAACAAAAGGGGATGAGAAATGAAGAGTCTTTTGAACTGATTCAAGCAGAGAGGTTGTATACATTTATATGCAAGTTCAGACTTGGAAAATAACATGAAATTTTTGTCTCCTTTTTAGGTACACCATGGATAGGCCTCGCTTCAGTGATCATTTAGAGGCTATCAAGTTCATCTGCAAAGATTTCTGGTCTGAACTTTTTAAGAAGCAGATAGACAACTTGAAGACCAATCATAGGGTAATTTCTCGGAATGAAAGAGTTAATATTTATATGACAGTTGTTTTGCCTGAGTTTAAACAGTACCCAACTTTGCTTGTGTTTATAGGGTACATTTGTATTGCAAGATAGTCAGTTTCGTTGGCTTTCCCGCGTATCGGTTGACCTCTCTGAAAATGGAGATGTCTCTCAAGATAATCCTGAGGCTACAGCTGAAAACAAGGCGGCGCAAGTGACGAGCATGCATCTGTATTTCCCCTGTGGAATCATAAGGGGTGCTCTTTCTAACTTGGGAATTCCTTGTGCCGTTTCTGCAGATATATCGAACCTACCTGCCTGTGAGTTACTTGCTCTTTTTGCGAATTGAGAATGCTCTTTTGATTTCGTTTCTGATTTTGTTCTCCTTGTTGGTCGCAAATATTGGTTATGAATGCATAAAGAACCTGCAAAGATCACTGCAATTCATTGTTTCTCCATCTTTCAATGTCTTTTTCCCTTGATAGTTGTTTCCCTCTGGTCTTCATGCCCTCATTTCTCTTTTATTAGCTAAAGAATCTTGTGTCATGTTTAGTTTTCTTATCTGTAAGTTCTGGTGGTAATTAGCTTTATATCTGTGAAAACTCGTTTAGTGATTCCATACTGAACTTTGGATTGTAGTAGTCCCGATAGGGTCCATTTTTTCTTTTTTTGTTTTTTTTTTTCCTTTTCTTTGCTTGCCGAACGAGTTGATTTTGGTTATAACCTACTCCGAATCATGCTCTGTCTACATGGGAGTCCCTTCAGATCCATTTGTAGATTCTAGACACGCTTCTGGACTGCGCTAAGCATCTAAGGTTAAATGCCAATAGAGCTACTATTTTTGGCGGAAACATTTATCAACTACTTTACATTCTTCAATCATTTTAGATTCAGATAGTTCTACATTAAATCTATAAATTCTTTCCGTGTCCCTTTGACCTTCCAGGGCAATGAGTAATACTCATTCTCTGTAGCCATTTTGTTACTAGACACTAGGATAAACTAGCGAAGCCTTTTGAT